TTGTTTCTGTTCCCAAGTAGCAGCCTCCAGTCCACAGTCCACAGTCCACTGTCCACAGTGGTCACTATAATGTTCCCACTGTCCATTGTACCTGACCATCACTTGCACAGTCAGACGGACATCTCCCATGACATCTTCTGTCTATTGTCCAACCGTAATCGATTTGATGTCTGGTGCGCGTGACGCGACGGCCCTCGGATTCACTTCACTTCGGTGTGTTTCTTCTGGCGGGCCGCGCTTTTTACACCTACAGCCTGGGAATGTAGTGCCGTTTATAATTGATCGTTCAACTGGCGATTCCGAGTTGGCCAGTGGCCATTGTGCTCTGGACAGCCGTGATGCGTTGTTTTCCCTCCGAGCGGTCAGTAGCGCGGGTGGCTTACTGGATCTACTGTCTGATCGTCAGGTCTTTTAAGATTGTATTCATCTCCCAAGAATAGCTTACTGTCAGAAAATAATTTGATCTTGGCTGAAATTAAAACTCCTAAGAAGGTTATTTTTTACCCTTAAAAAAATCAAGAGACGTCAAAATGAATATATGCCTACACATTTAAAAAAAAAATCCCTAAGATCCAAATAAGCAATGCTGATCTAAATTTCATCGTGGCTAAATAATCATCCAGCCTTATCCAATAAAGACATTTAGAATTTAATAAGAACAACGTATGACATTCTTTAGAATTTAAATTAATGGATAGCCACAGCACCAAGCCCTTCCATTATTAAATCAGGGTTAAAAGCTTCATAGTCAGACCATAGTTAAAGTCTAGACGCAAGATCAAAACATCATAGCTGCATACATCAGCCATTACCCTGCAGGCCGGCAGTCTAATGTCCAATGGGTTGATCACTTAATTGTTGTCGCCTACACAGCACAGCGAGGCTACATGGTTTAATGGCGTTCAGGAATGTCTAATGGCCAACAGACTGTGCCCCAAGCCCCGCTAATTCGATTAGTACTTTTACCGCTTCATTATCTGCGTCTCTTGCATAAATATATGTTAATTAATTATCCACTTAGGCTGATAGTGGCATTAAAACTTTACACTGCGTGGCTGGCTCGGATTTAGTGGTTATTAAAGCGGTTTTATAGTTTTCCTAGTTCAGATTTGTGACAGGACGTATACCGTTGGATTTGTTTGCTGTCTGCTCGTCAGGTCTTTCAAAATTGTATTCATCTCCCAAGAATTATGAGTAATTTTTAATTATGCTTTTAATAAGTAATTATGCTAATTTACTGTTTGGTTAACTTTAGATAATATTTCAAAGGGTGATAGTTATGCCCATATATTTTCCTTGGTCTGATTGGTATTGATGGGAAAGTAATTGCGTTGCAAAGAGGGGTGATCTCGTTGTATTCCGAAAGGTAATAAATTTGTGACAGGACGTATACCGTTGGATTTGTTTGCTGTCTGCTCGTCAGGTCTTTCAAAATTTTATTCATCTCCCAAGAATTATGAGTAATTTTGTAATTATTCTTTTAACAAGCAAATATGCTAATTTACTGTTTGGTTAACTTTAGATAATATTTCAAAGGGTGATAGTTATGCCCATATATTTTCCTTGGTCTGATTGGTATTGATGGGAAAGTAATTGCGTTGCAAAGAGGGGTGGTCACGTTGTATTCCGAAACGTACTAAATCGCTCAAGTCAAGAAAAATTATTCATCTATCGTATATATTTGTTTACCAATTAAACTTGAATTATAGAAAAGAATACTAAATATGTCATGCAAGATGGATCAGCTAAAGACAATGTCAAATAATTTATATATCCTGAAATGCTTGTTGTGATAATTTACAAACAGTTAAACTATTACAACAAAATACAACTAACTATTCATAGATAACTTCTGCTAGTCATCAAAGGTGGAATGGCATTATAACAATATGATTCTCACACTCTGGAGTTTTAATGTTAGCTGTTAACGGGCATTAGAAAATAAAGTTTTATGTTAAACTGCTCTGACGCCTACGGTTTTGTAACATTCCGCCAAGTAACATTTCGGCCAAACTCAAATTTCTTAGAAAAACAGTAACACTTCGTCCCATTCGCTTTCACAATTGATTTAATAAGCTAATGGAGTAACATTTTGGCCCGATGAAAGATTTACAAGGATTGAGGAACGCAGTTCATGTAGTAAGAGGCTCTTAACCTGTATACTTAGCAACCTACTAACATAACCTTAACATACCTTAACATAACCTAACCTCTGACCTGATTTCTAACCTAACCTAACCTTTCTTAAACTGACCTAACCTAACCTAAGAATGTTTGTGGTAAGTCAATTTTAAATCTAATGCCATTTTAGCGAATTTTCCTACAGGGAAGTAGCTATGACCGTAGGTGGCACGGTAAGACCTAGGCCCGGGACCGATTTGCTTTTTCATTTTGATGTCCCCAGAGGCCAAAACACCATTAACAACCGCCCTAGTTCATTGTATATATTTTACCTTAATCCTTTCACGCAAGGATATAGAGAACACATAAAAAGTTTTCTCCGTTCTGTGACTTAACGAGGTTCCTATTATAACATTTATGGAGGCTTGAATAACCGTTGTGCCATTTAACTACCATTGTGACTACAACTACAACTTAACTAACGTATCACAACAAGGCTCTGATTGTCTGTGGCTCTGTTTTCTCCACCGCTGCCGCAACTGCGGTTGGATGGTAGCCAACGTTTCGAACATTTATCACCGTACTTTCTCAAGGCACTCGTGATTATGCAGAAGGCCGGTAATGAAGTTATAAGCGCTAATCACCGGCTAAGTGAGGGGAGAACTGTCGTTACATGTCGCTATATAGTGCTACACTGCTACACTACTACTATCCACGCGTGTCCCTAGATACAGGAATAATTATAGGCCTACAGCGAACAGCGGTCGACGGCGCAGTTACTGATACTGTACTCGTGTGGAATTGATGGAAACGCAAAGATGAAGGTTTGATTCTAGTTTTGACACAAATTAGGGTCCATTTTTAAAAGTTAAACTAAATCGAAAGTCTTGGTTACGTCAAGCAAAAAGGAGTTCATAATAATTATGCACAAGCTCCTCCGGGCCTCGTTCTAACATCTACCTGTTTATAAATGGCTTTATTACCTATCAATACAAGGCTTGTGCCTACAAAACACTCTTTGTAATCTCTAAGGAATTTAACAAGCGTCTGCGTCCAGGCTGGTGATTGAGCGTTTAAATCACCAAAAAAAAAAAAAGCGGTTTGACGGCTTATTTTTTCTAAACCGTTTCAAAGAATAATTTTTAAAAGAAGATTATTTTTTACTAGAAATTATATTGGGTAATCTTTACATGACGATGAGCGGACTAAAATAAAATATAACTTGGTCATCTGACTACATGTCATTAATTTTCAAATGTTACAAGCCTAATTGTTTATCAGTGTAGAACCATTTCCTCTTACATATTCAGCTATTTGAAAAATCACAGGTGCAGAATAAATGTTAGTGTTAAAATGAATATTCTGGCTCAGCTAAACATTTGTACACTGTGTTATAACAAATAAATAAAACTACACCTTATTGGTTAGATATAACGGGTCCTAACCTAATGTTTAGACGTAGCTAGATGCTACACGAGTTTTGGCATTAAGTTGAGATCTTTATTAGATATTTTTAAGAATTAAGTAAGTGGTACTTACAACTATTGCCTATTTTATATTAATTTTTATTTTCTAAATCACTTTCAAAATCGAAATCTTTTAATCCTCGAAATTGTCTATAATCCGTTATCAAATCTGACGACAACAAATTTTTATCTGAAATGAAACGCTTTTAAACCTTGTGGGAGTCGATGGGCCATTAATGAACGAATATGGTTCGAATATATCGAACTGATATGACAGAATAATTTGCAGAATTATGGCCATTATTAAAAAGATTAAGTTTAAAATACCTCTAGCACAGGTTAAATCAGTCTTTTACTATTCCTTGACGGCGTTGCAGCTCAAAAACAACTTCACAACTCGCCTATAAGAAACCGATCCCGGTTTATTTCAGTGAGCCTATAACTCAACAGATTGCCGAGCTAATGAGCGAAACTTATCTTCGATCAACTCAGAACGTAATCGGAAAGGATGACTGCCAATCGATTCAAATTCCTTTTTTCAAATTAAGCCCCGAAGCTCAATGGTGCGCACCTTGCAGTTTTTGGGACCCATAGATTATAGGGCAGTTTCATCTGAGGACAGCAACCCGGGGAAAAACTGGCAGATGGATCTAGATCGTAAATCGAAATGCGGAGTCGAGATGGACAGATAACGCTTGGAAGAGTAGACGAGTATAATTATAGTTGGTGTGAAGAGGTCCAAGGTAGTTCAGTGGGTGACAGCTTCATTAGGATGTTGACGAAGAAGGAGGTTCTTGTTAAAAGTGTTTCATTTTGGGGTCGGTTTCAGGGTTAGGGTTACGTGGTAAAAATCATTCATTGGGATGCATGATGGATGCGAAAGGAGTTCTCCAATGGAGAATTTTCCTTGCATATGTGTCATTATTGCAATAGACAGAAAAATCACCAGACCAGCCACGGAAGATAGCCGCAATAAGTAGGCCTAATGGTACTAATGTATTGACACACATGTACATTTATGATCTACGGTAAACAGTTGGGTTAGTTACATCCTCTGCATACACAATCCTATCTAAGCCTTTCCTATTAGCCTTAAAACAAAAAAATATGGGAAACTTATGCGAGAATATCTTGTCTCTTAAAAATCCGTACCTGATTTTAAGAAGTTACTTTACCTTATTTGGAATGATATTTTATTATTTATGTCTCTTTAAGATCTACATACTGTTGAAAACACAGTTTCTTTATACTACGCTTTAAAGTAAGAGTACCAAGCGGTTACATTTTTTTTCTATCTCATTAACTTATATCGACTGCAAAGCGAGTCTTTAGATACATTCGTGTCAAACCGTTACGATTTTACAGAGGTTGTAGAGGTTTTATGAACAATATAGATTATGAGTATTTACTCACCTTCTGAGATAAGTCTCTCGCGTATCTCCCAGGCGAAGATGGTTGGATTCTCCCTCTTGTACTGCTCTATCTTGGACACTACGGCGGGTGTGGCTACCTTGGGCTTGCTGCCTCCGATCAGACCCGGGGGGCGAAGTGTGCCTGTACAACAAGAATATGTTAAATCTTTTGTCATTTAACAATTATAATTTCATATTTGACATTTGGTTTCTAAAAAATTGTCTAGTAGTTGGATCCTTCTCTTTGATAGTTAAAAAGAAAATGGCTTTTCTGTAATTGGAGGTCTGGGTACGAATCTTGTAAATAACTAATGGAGATAAGAGTCTCCATCAGTGGCAGCCATATTGGAGCTTAGTCCCATAAGATCAGTGTTAAATTTGACAGAAAATGCCATCATTTGAAGCAGTATGCCGGTGTTATTTATAGAGTTACTAGCTGACCCGGCGAACTTCGTATCGCCTAAGTTATAGGTTTAACCTAAGACAGACCGATGGAAAGAAAGTACCGTTACGTTTAATTTTCAAGATGATCTCGTTCGCATCGCTCAATCACGTCCTGGTTGAAGTTCGTTCGCTACGCTCACTCACCTTTGGGTTGGAGTTCGTTCGCTACGCTCACTCACCTTTAGGTTGGAGCTCGTTCGCTGCGCTCACTTGCCTTCAGGTTAGCTCGTTCGCTACGCTAACTCGCCTCCAGGTTGAAGTTCGTTCGCTACGCTCACTCACCTTTTGGTTGCAAATTAGCTGTTGTCATAAATGTAAAAGAAATCATAGTGCTGCACCCTGTTGGTAATCCATGTAACTTTAATGTTATTGAACATCATAGAACAGAACCAACTTGTTTAATTGAAACAGCTGTTAAGATTCATTAATTCCATTTCTCATAAGGTTAACATGGGAAACTCCAGAGCCACTGGGGCGGAGCCCTTTTAAGAATTTCGAAACGGGAAATAGTTTACGTCCGATTCGCATACCTACAGAATTTACACACCAAATTTCATAACGATCGGAGAAGTCGTTCCGGAGGAGTTTGCAGACAAACACTGTGACACGAGAATTTTATATATTAGATAGATAGTTTTGAAAATGTAAAAGGCTTAATTAATGATCATTAACTAAATAACTTAACTGAATAACTTAATCGTTATTAAGTGGAGGAAAAATTACAAAACTAAAAACCTTACTCCCTAGAGGACCACTAAACCTTAATTTTAACACCTAAATCATTATTTTATCACAACAGGTTTTTTATAAATTCTGTTACAAATTTAATACTGCTCTTATAGGACTAAAATCGAATATGGCTACCACTGACGAAGACTCTTAAGCATTGAGATAATGATACGATCTGATGCTTTGGGGCAAGACTCCAATGCAATACTTGGAGCCCATCAAGAAATAAATGTCTCTTAAGCGAGGAAACCTATCTGGATTTGTTATATTCCTATGTAGAATAGTCATACAATATATTTATTATGTTATCTATGGATTAGTTGATAAACTCTTGGGATGACAGTTATCGATCGAAACTCGTGTACATGTATTTGTATCAGCCAAATTGAGCCAAATTATAAAAAAAAAAAATTTATTATTATAATAATTATTATATTATAATTATAATAATAATTATTATTATAAATTATTATTATAATTTAAAAAAAATTATGCCAAATTATTTTAACAATTTTGTCAAAGAAAGGCTCACATGAGTCAACAAAGTATTACCACTGAACAATTAGCAAGCCCCTGTCAGTGTCTAACTTTGCGCTACGTAGATAATTTTTCTATTTAAAAATAATTCTCCTTCATTGGCATTTTGTTAATATAGACAATTTGATAAAATAAAGGATGAAATTATTATTTCCTTAGTTAAACCATGCCAATTAAGTTATTTGGTTACAATGATACACAACACACGTTGATACGTTTCATTAATCTTTTAGAAGTTATTTCAATTTAAACATGATCAAAAATACAAGAGTGATTCTCCACTCGATTTCCAGTAACATGAATAGTATTCCTTTTCAAAGCGCCTGCGGTCACTCACTGTCCAACTGACAATGTATTCCTCAGTCACGAGACCAGCACGACAAGTGTGGCCGCAGGCAACGCGGTTGAAATCAATTATGAGACGACAAATTATGGAGACGATCCCGAGTGTACAATGAAACGCCATCTGTCCACTGTCCACCCCGGTGAAGGGCGGGTCAAACCCGCACGAAACGTCGTCCACGGTACTCGAGCTCAATAATGCAACAAGAAAATGTAGTTCGTGCGCGTAACATGGACCAGCTGGATTTGCAACTTTTATACTGTTTACGCCTGATTGCGGGCTGCATGACTCAATTATTGGTATTACGAGTTTTGCGGACAGTCGGGCTGCATGCCAAACTGCCTAATTTAAAGTTCGCGTGGAGTCGTTTGACCTCGTTAAAGTAGGTCTGCATACAGATGTTCTTTTGTCGGTTGTTACTTTGGTTTGGTGGTTAATAAGTCATTAAAAAGAAGAAACAGTGAAGGAACAACGATAATAATATGAAAGTGGAATAGTGATTACAACAGATTATTTGTTTACACAACGTCGGTTTGACTATTCTTTTTTCAAATCCTGGTGTGGAATGAACTGCAGGTGCCCAAACCTGAATGCCCAACTAAATGCATGTAAACGGCTTTCTGCTAATAGTACATAGGACAAGAAATGCCTAGGAAACGTTACAATAATACAGTTACTAACTTTGGTGAAACGAATATTTCTCGAATGTTAAAGATATAAAAATTACTTGTGTTAACAATTGCCTATAAACTATTACGGCAAAATATGGCATACCATAGATTGATCAATCTCTCCTGAGTAATCGCGTTGGAAGAACGGTTTTGTGTCATAAAATTGTATAAATACTATCAGATCAAATTGGAGGGTAAGAATAACTGTGCTTTTACAGTGTATATTCTCACTACTCACTAAAATGATCATTTAAAACTAAGCTGACATATAGTTAATCAATTTATGGTTGAAGACGAATTTCAAACTACGTCTCTTCTCTACCAGACATATTAAGCGTGCGTTAGGATGTACAGTATTCATTTACATCTGTTTAAAACAATCCATAATTTTCAACCAACAAAAAAGATATCTATGGATAACTATTTCTTTTACAGTTAGCAATATTCTTGCAGGTGTTATAGTCAAATTAATTCTAGGCCATAAAACTAAGCTTCAAATAAGAGAACAGATTCAGTCGACGCTTCCAGAATAACACGAAGAAGAAACACGCTTTCAAACATGAACACAAGTGTTATAAATAGGTTGACAAATCTACATTTACACTTTTTTAAATAAACCAATTACTTACTGTGTATCGAGACAATTGTTTAGTTACTTAAGAAATTCCTAGGAATCCAATGAGATTCTGAATGATTCACTATACCTCCATGTAATCCATAGAACGATCACAAAGGATAGATGCATAGTTCAATGATCATAGGAAGTGTAATTTTCAATTTAATGAATGAAATTTTTACCTTCTAACAAAGCAAATTTACAAATAAATTCAAAGTGTTAGGTTTGAGGAATCGTAACTGCTTTCCCTTCAAGTTTGATATTATTTTATACAAAAAGCTTCATATACTAAAATGACCTGATGATTTGCAGGTCGATATAAGTCGTCGCAGTTCAAAGCCAGTGACAACACTGAGCGCGTGAAATGCCAGAAGCGTGCACTGGCATGGTTTATGGCATGTTATGGCATTGTTGGCATGATTCTAGCACCTCGCCCATTGTCCGTCGTCATGGCGTCGTGTTACGCAGTACGACGCAAGTTTGACCAGTCTAATTCGATATTCACTTCCCTGAGTCACGCAGGAGGGTGGCGGCCATTTTTAATTTGATGTCACGCACAGAAGGGCTGCGTAATTGTGGTTGTGGGTTTGTAATGATGGTCAGAAAGGGTTGGAAGAAGTTTTTTGTGATTTGTTCAAAATTAGTCACAAAATTTGTATTTTGAAGAACTACGTGGCATTGTTTCGGTTGTGGGACAGTTTGTATTTTTTATGTATTGTTCAAACATACACTATATGAAAATACAATTGATATATATTGCATTTGTGTGTTTTATATACGAGCGCCTCCATTTGATTGTCTCATACTTTGGGAAATCTTTTGAAGTATCTGGAAAGGTGTTTGTTTCATTACAAATCGTATAATCGCTCAGGATTAGTTTGATCCACAAAATATTGTTCTCACACTGTTTATATTGTTATTACTGCTGTTTTCAACTGCAGATTAACATAAATTATAATGGAAAAACTTAACTGTGTTTTTTTAGATATTGTCGGTATACTCTATTGAACGATACGACCGGAACCGGTAAAGTTGTATATTTAAAGCCATTGTTTAAAGCCATCTTGTTTAAGTAGGAAGAGAAAATTTATAATCCCACAGTGCCCTGGGTATTTAAACTACAATAACTTTTGTATCTGGAAAAAATATTTTAGTATGATAAATTACTCTTTAGCAGCTGTTTGAAATTAATCCAAGATGGCCGCTACTCTCCAAGGTAATCACTGCATTGCTATCTATCTCAGACTGTAGGTGTAACGATTGTCTACAACGGAGTGGTTACAGCGCTCACCTTCAAATATGTATGTTGTTGGTTCAACACAAGCGGGTGGATGTTTCGTAGAGATTCCATACATTTTCCCAGATGATGTGATAGTGATCTAAGTAGCTTAGTGTTATCAGGTTTATCATGCTCTCTTCCAAGGTCACGTGATGTATGGATTGATACTGTGGGGGCATTCCCCTGCTACAAGGGATGTTCTCTTACTTCAAAAGATGGCACTCAGAGTCATCACATCATTTGGGTATTATGAGCATTGCCGGCCTATCTTTAGGGAACTGAAGATCCTCACAGTGTACAGTCAGATGTTTACAACATACTCACACTTCCGCGCTGTCGACTCGAACGGACCTTGAGGTCCTACCCTAGGTCGGCCATAAAAATCTTCAACACACTGCCGTCGCAAGTTCGAGAGATGGGCATGAAAGAATTTAAAAAAGTTGTACATAAGGCCCTCGTGAATAGGCCACTATATTCTCTGGGGGAGCTGAATGAGATACCACTCTTCCCTTCACCATAAAAACGTCCGCCATACCACCAGTAGTTGTAAATATTAGTTTTATTATAGTAACTTATTTAAAGAAATAAATAAAGTCTTTACATTTTTAAAGACCCGACGCGATCTATCTGACATTGTCAGTCAAGGGTCAAGAATACAAGTAAGTAAGTAAGTAGTAAGTTAATGGATTTCGTCTTTGGATAAATGGACAATATATTTTCACAAGACCAGTGATCCAGTGGATGAACCAGTATCTCATAAAACGCGTGAAAAAGGATTATTCTACAGTTTTCTAAGTAACATAATAGTTCCTACATAATTATTACTGCCGTTATTTGTCGTAGATGAAATACTGAACACCAAAACAAACGTTAACTTGCTGTCAAATTGTCCACTGTATCATCATTATTGCACATTGTTATTACTGCACAAAATAACAATACTGAACTACACAACAGAGGCATGGAGAGGACAGAAACCTAACTAGTGCCTAACAGGATTGTGTTGTAGCGTGAGCTTCGGTCGTAATCGCATTTGTTCGTTGAGCTTTGTCTGTCAACGCGGTGGCACAGGTGTAAGGTAATTTTACAGCTGAGTAAAACTTTTGCTACCGGAAAGATCTTAATTTCTAATCTACTAAATAGGGATATGCCAATAATAACTGTAATCTTGATTTAGAAAAATAAAGAAATAAGTATTCACAGCAACACTTTGCCCATATTTGTCCCGGCTTAAAAAGAACAAAAAAAACCTATTGCCAGAATATATTTATATTGACAACGAGTTTGCAACATTTGATTTTACCACATCTTTCCCATCGTTTCTTGTTCACAACTTTCTAAAAAATGTTTTATTTCGACTAAATTTCTTGTGTGAATGGGGAAGTTTTAAACGTAATATCTGCAAGTGGTACGATTCAGGTTCAAACGTTTGAATCAGTACTAGATCGTGTTGTTTACCGATTAAAGAATACTCAAGAAAATAAGTGTGTCGAATTAGTTTCTTTCTTAGACACTTTTTTTGTGGTTGAGTACTGGAAACGTTAAAAAGTCAGCCAGGAACAGTATATTAAGACTGAATACTCATTACACAACTTTTCCATATAAATATTAACAATGTCACCCTGCTAGTGTATTACTCGCCTTTACATTCCAAGCATGACACGTTGTATTTTAGTGGCTGTTTTACAAGGTAAGCGTAAGCCCAGAGGCACCGTGTCATCTGACATTTGACGAGGCGCCGTAGCGATCATGATATTGTTGTTGTTGTTTCGCCGTGAAACCGAGCCTAGGGCGCTTTTGTTTGGTGAAAGGCTTATCATTTTCATACTTGTTACATATTCAGTGGGTTTCATCAGCAGCATTGTCCGGAGCTGCCATTGTCGCACAAGTAACAAGGCAACAGTTTAGCGCGGTGAAACTGTTCGTTGTTCACTGTTCAGGCACCTAGGTGATGTAGGCATTGTCACAAGTATGTGTTCACTCACTTCCATTGGTAGCTATACTCTAGCACAGCAGCACCATTCATGTTCTACCATTTGATATTTTGTATGGATGAAAATTGAACGAAATCCGTTCATGTTTTATTTGCTTTCTTTAACATTTGATGGTTTCGTTACCTTCTGAAACCATTTTTTGTGCTGCAGAGAAACTACTGTATGCAATACCTGCGTTACTGTTTTAAAGTAGCTATTTTAATAATAACAAACATATTTTAATAAAAAGTCACTAGTAATAATAACAAACTTGAAATGAATACTTGTATTAGCAATAAAACTAAAATTTATATATATTGTATTTATGGGTTTACCAAACTCCGAATTCGGACAATGTCCAACATTTGGACCCACTCTGTGTTGTAGACAGTTAATACTTAAGTGTAAACTTAATTAATAAATAAGTGTAAAGTACCCGCGTCGCGGAATGAGAATTTTATTCGGACATTGGGCGAATCAAATTCCCAGAACGGGTTGTGGGTAATCTGATTTACTCAAATTCCGGAGTCAAAACTTCCTTCGGGGACTGAGTAAATCCAAAATACTTACAACGTGGTGGGAACAACTAGTGGTTGGAGTAACTGTGCTATTCATATAACATTATAGAACATACCTAGCAGCTTGGTAACAGCGCCTTGCTGATGGCTGAGAAGATCATAATGTCTGAATCTGCTGAGTTCCAGCAGTCGCTGCTGCTGCTGAGATACCAGTGAAGCTAGAGGTTGCTGGCTGGCTGCTAGAGCGTATAGTTCTCTGAGCGTCCCACCTGCGGGGAGTAAATGGACTTAGTAACTATACAAACTTCAAATTTGTTAACTTATTGAGATACTTATTTAAACAAACTGGAGCTCTGGTCAATCAGGAAAAATTAAAAGAAAATGGCCGTGGATGGGTCACATGGAAATAGAAAGACTGGACTGAGATTCTCATTGACAACGATGAAGAGAAATTATAAGACAAACCTAGAGAGAGACAAAGAAAGGAAACAGGAGGAGAGGAAAAGATCTGTAAGAAGATGACAGCCCTTCCTGGAAACTAAAGTTGATAGTTCTGCATTATCAAGACTGCTTAATCGAACTAGGAGCCACGGGGATTAGTAAGAAAATCTTAATAAATCACTTTATTTAAAAGGCGACGCACCGTGTGTTTGCTATAGAATGAATGGTATGAGATGAACTTTGTAGCTTTGTGTTTGATACTTGGATCAGCTGTTTCTTTTGCTAGAACCTTTAAACATTCCGTCCCCATGTTAAATTTGATGCCAGATCTTTTTATGAATTAGTTTATGTGAGCCACCTACGAATTGTGCTGATCTAAATTACTAAATTCTGTCAAATACACAATCTTTTTTACCAAGTCAAACTTAGGGAATGACTTATGATGGGTTATAGCAACTGTCATGACCCATCAACCTGGTCAGCAAAAAAAATAGAATTTTAGACACTAGTGCATTCTGTGACTGCTCACACAACTACGTTATTTTTTTAATTAGTTACAACCGTTCCATTTTGATAGGAAGTCTACTTCAGTATCCAATAGTCAATGCTAGAACTTAATATCATAGAAACCCAATTTCAAGGACAGCTAGACCCATTTTTTACTAATAGAAAGTCTGATTTAAATATAAATCAACGACAATGTCTCTTGTATATTTAATCACGCAAGTTTGTAACTGATTCAAAAATATTTTAATCTGAGTTTCCACCATTATTTTTTTACTTTAAATTTCCAGAACTGCACAGCTTCCCATTCTAACTCAAAAATCAAATCCTCATTCGAACCGCAGGATGCGATCACAATCACACCTATTCTTCCCATAAACAAAAGGAGAAATCAAAACTTCACCATCTGTCCCGCTACTTCCTTTCAGGAATTGACGCATCATTATGGGAGTTACCCCTCGTTTAGCGGTTACAAAAGCAGGCACAAAAACAAGTGGCTGTAGTTTAGACTCGGACGACGGGGGGGCACGACGGGGCGTCAGCCAAGACCATAATTGAAACTCGATTCGCGTTATACATGGCCAATAGAAGAGTCGTCTGCATACCGAGCTGTGACGAAACAAATTGGTCCTCTGAATAGCGAACGGGTAATGTTCATCGCGCCGTTAGTCCAGGCGACGCCATGGAGGTTACAGGGGTCGCTATGGTGTTTGGCGGAGCACTTTAGTGAGATGTAATACTACTCTTGTATGTAAGGGTAGTTATGGCAGAAACGTGTTGTACGGGGTGTCACCGCATGGGTTAAATGTTAGGTTTGAGGTCGATATGGTGATTAGTATAGTTCAGTCATTTTAGGGGGGAAATACCCCACAACCTGGAAATAATTCCCTAATTGGTGAAACCTTGCACATGTGTATTACTATTTCGTACCCAGTAGCAACATATCAAAAATCAACATTCGTGCATGCTTTGCTACGGCCACCATCTTGGAAAATTCCCACATTCACTTTTAATATTTCACTAACTGTTGGAAATACTGAAATCTTGTGCAAATACATGTTAAAGAAAACAAAAAAAATACATCTTTTACTCTCTTACATATTTGCCCTATCTCTCACGGTTATTGAGAAAATTGAAATTAATGTTAAAAAAAACATTAGTTTTGTTTAATTTCTCCCAGTTTAATTTTTTTCAAATATTTCATTGTAGCGGCCCTGCTAGAAGGAAAATCCCTAAACAGCAAGGTTTATATATAAAATGTATCAAACAAAATGATTTGAGATATTTTGTTAGAGGGTACTAGTACTACACATATGCAAAGTTTAACCCCTTAGGGAATTATTTCCATCTAAAACCCTAATATGGCTGGTCAGTATGGGGCACAATGATGGTGTAGAGGCCACAACATCATCTTGTATGGTTTGGTGAAATGCAGGGATGCAGGGGTAGGACTGAAGGAGGGTTAGTTATAGTGTAACCTACCAAACGCCAAACATGCCACTTCTGTGATAGTAATGAGAACAGTTAGTTTTTGCCGAACAACATACTGTATGTCCTACTTTGTGGGATAGACGCATATTGTTTTAACAATCGCGAGTAATTTCTTTGCTAAAATATAAAGCTATAAAGAAGATATTTTGTCGAAGTCATGGAACGGAAAAGATAGATTAATTCTTTGTCAAATATTGCTAGGGGTTTCCAAGCAATTACTTGTGTTTTTAAGTGCAAGGATGTCTTTATTAAAAGTTTTGTAAAATAATCCGATAATGCATCTTATTCAACAATAATCGATGTACTTCAATAACCAATAATGTATGTCAACACCTACTGATATTTTAACAACTAATAATGTTTGTTGTGCCTATTTATGCCAATAGCCACCAATATTGCGTACACAATTAGGAGAAATGAAACAAATACCATGAAACCCACACAACGGGTCTTGCCTCGGAGCAGCTACAGCGGGAAAGATGACAATCGCGGCTTCATGGGTACAATACCACTAAACACCAGGGCGAATCAGAATTACGAGAGGAGAAAGAGAGCGACCAGAAATTCACATCGAAATTCACAATAATCATGATATCGATATACGGGTCGAGTCGAATCGATCATCGAGCCATATCGATATAATCAGTGGCTTATTTTATGTAATGGCTTTTATGCTATTGTGATCGCATCCGCATAGCCTAGAAGGTCAATGCTTCTATACCCGGTCTGGGGTGACTGGTATAGTGGTCCTAGGCTGCTGTGGGGGATTGTGATGGGTGAATTTTGTCACCAAACATATCTTGTGAAATCTAATGTATAGAATATTAAATTGATAAAAGGATGGATTTGCGGCTATTTCTCATGAAAAATGTATTTTCCTATCACGCGAGTCATAAGTTATCTTATACGCTAATATGTATTTATGCTTGCACAGTTATGTAAGAAACGGCTCCGTTAATTTACTTTTAATTGTTGGAAATATATTAATTTTATTAAAAAACTTAGGCTAAGCTCTGTTCAGTAATAGTTAGTTTTTGGTTTAACTCTTAAACTGAAATTTTGATAAACAACTTAAAACTTCTTTTTGAACACAACTAAGTTGAATCCAAATCTGTAACAATTAATCCATGTAGACATGTTTTAAAGAATCAAAACAACACATTTCAACAATGTATTTTTTTCCAGGATTGGTTTGTTTCATGACCTAAACAATGAAGTTGAATCATTTTAAGTATTGATACAAAATTAACCATTCGTTGCTATACTTTGTTTGTTATTTATCTATTTGTTATTATTACATTATTTTGGTACTGCCATCATTATATACTATAGCTACAACAACTGCAATACAACTTCTAGTGGCCCATAAATCATGACTAATCTTATTATACTTGAATATCTTTAGCTGCTGCACAAATAGTTAATCCTTATGTACTTTCCATATATTTCATCGTTGACAAACAGTTATTGTTTGTAAAATAGTGTTTGCTTGAGCATAATTAAAGCAAAGGAGCGGTGATTCGAGGAGACGAAACTGCCACAAAATATTTTATAGATGCCGCCGGTATCGATCATAAAAATAAAGAAATTACGATTTGGCCCCAAAGTAAACAAACCATATGTTAATTAATGCTATTAATATAGGGGTTGTGTTTACTTTCGGGCCAAAATCTTTATTTGTTTATGTTGAAAACAAAAAAAAACATACCGGTATTTTTCTAGTATTCGTGATAGATGCTTTTAAGGATGATGCATTATCGCGAATACTCGTATTTTATATATTTTGTAGTTTTGCAACGGAACCAATTTTGTATGTGGGAAATTGTTACGTACATTTTCTTTCAGTGTCAGTAAAAACGAGAAACTACAAATATTCACAACGTTAAAGGATTTTGGATCCTATCTCGTCTTCAGGTGAGCAAGTGCCCAAAACATTCAGAAATGGATATATAACTTGGCTTTTACTAATCGTGTTGGAAAATGTTTGCAATATTCTCCCTTAAAAACCTACCATTACAAATATAGCTCCCACACAATCTTCTATCCACCTATATTTCTGATTATTTATATACTTAATACGTAAGGGGTTTTCTGTATAATTTCTTTTCCACCCGTCCTACTTCACTGTTTCTAGGATTGAGGTGTCACTTCTACAGTTTACATAACATATAGGTTAGATTAAGGAAGGTAAAGTGTATGTTATAGGTAATCGGGTTGTTTATTTCTGTTACACCATATTGTTTTCTTTTGGAGTTGTTGGGAACAACGAAGAGACAATTCAAAAAAATGCTTGCTTGTCTAATAATTGTAACCTGGTTGAGGCAGGTATATAATGTAATCTTTATGTAAAGGATCTAAAGTCAACAATTTTAATTATTCATAGTGAATTCGTGGTTTTATTTACCCAATAACTGTCTTTCATAACAACAAAAACACAAAATTAATGTGTAAAAGGTTATTTATCTCACTTCGAAACAAGTGTCTGATCCTATTGAAATGCGCAATATGTGAAAATCTCGCCCCTGTAAACATCCCATCAATCGCCACCACTAGTCCACTTTCCTCCCACTTCGCGCCATTTCTCCCAGATTTGGAGGGAAAGCTCCATCGCTGTCACACGCGACGACCCTGTGACATCCGCGACACCAATACATAGCGGACCACTGATTGACGGCATAATGCGATGGAAATGCTGTGACAAGCTGACAACAGTGTCGCCGACCCGGACCGCTACGATATGTGATTGCATTTGTGGAAGATTAACCCATGTCGAATAAGGGACATCGCTAACGGCAGAACTATTTACTCTTTCAGGCTTTCGAGAATCGTTCTA